CCAGCCAAGATGAGCTTACAATCTTTGTATCCACTGTTTTTTACAACCCAAGTATTTCAATTTGGTCCATTTGCATTAAATTTCAGGGGTGGATCCAGGAATTTGTTCAGGGAGGGATGCTGTGCACAAAGTTAACCCAGGGAGGGGTGCACCCCTTAGAATCAAAGGGAAAAACATTATTTTGTATTGGTTATCTTCGAAGTATAGGGGCACAAAGTCGAACCAGGGAGGGGTGTGCACCCCCTGCACCCCTCCCCTGGATCCGCCACTGAATTTCAGGGACACTTTGCATAAATACAATAGTTTTCATGTAGAGATAAGGATAACAAGCTATGGTATTTATGCAAAGTGCCTTTCAAAACCTGTCGATGAAGAATTACTTGATATGTGGAATCAGCATTCTGCTTTGATCATAAATAATCCGGGATTTGCCCTTGCCTTAAGTCTCTGGCACTTCACTTTACTTGTGTACACTTTATATACACAGGGTGTACAGGTTATGCAATAGACCTTTTTCGAGTTCGAAATTACTGCTGTGTTCCTTGATTACAGACTTATTTACTCAGAGTTAGCCTCGAATCAGTATCTAAATATTCACAAATACCAACGGTAAAGTGAGGAATGCATAACTTAACAATGCAAACACTTTGAAATTCCTCAGATCTTCACCGAAACACGTGAATATTATGTACAAAATTGAGGCTAACCCTGAGCAACAGACCACTCGAGTATTTGTACAGGATATGCAATTTGTACAGGTTATATTAATGTATGCAGAAATTATAGCTAGGCTATCCAGTGGTTCAGTGATTATGATAATATTATTTTGAAAGTTATTGTTGCAGATGATTTTTTTCTTGGTAGTAAATATTTTCTTTACGTACTAAGACTTGTATATTACTTTCCAGTCTTATTTGCCAATTATTAAAGTTTAAATCTGGAAACAAGCCATGGGTGCCGAGGAATCGCACATGTCTCTGCAACCAGTCTCCCACGATTTTGGCTACCTAGCTGTTGTCTTTAAGATTCCTGACCAAATAAGAGTAATTCATGGCAGCGAAGCTGAGTATTCAATAATAGGACATGCCATCTCCGACACTTGGAAAGAGGGGATTCAGTCAACAAAACGAAAATGCGCTGGAAGCGTACTGTGCTTTAAACTGAAGGGCCTTCCTTTTGAAACTGGATGTCTTTCGATGAATATTCGTGAAGTTGCTTGTCGGATACTGCGATGTCTAAATAACATTGGCTGTCAATACATAGCATCAACCAATTTAACTCAGGGTAGAGAGTGGTTCACCTTTATCTTTGTCCGCACAAATACGCATCAACGTAAAATAGGAGAGTTGGCTTACGTTGCCATGAGCAGTACGGATAAACTTCATTTCTGGAACCTGCAGCCAAACACACGAGATGAGATTTCTCAAGCTTTACATTCAGAGTATCACCCAGGCTTTTATCACAAAGAAATTACTGATGGTGGCAAAAGTTACGAAGCTATGTTGAAAGGTTCACCATGGGGTTCGACCACTTCTTGTCATGGCCAGGCTAGAGGCTTCTTGATCAAAATAATTTTCATCATGATGAAAAGGTACAGCTTTCTTTGTGCCATGAACTTAAAACGAACTGAAGACACCTTTGTTTTCTTTCCAAAGAGTATCATTTCCAACACAGTATCCGCAGAAATCTTCATCATTAGCTTACGGAAGACTAGCAAATTGCAAGTGTTTCAAGCGCCGGAATGTCTGATTCCCATAATCCATAAAGTCCTTGTAGATTCATTTGGGACGAGGAGTCACAATATAGAAAAGAAAATTGACCACCGCTTTGGAAAAGTGGAATTCAAGTACAAATCTCACGCTGCAAAAGACCAACTTTCACAGTGCACCATGACAAAATTTATCGTTTGCAAGTTGTTAGAAGTCCTAAAAAGTCATGGCTGGAGTATCGTCACAGGGTTTGACATGTCAAGAGGACTTGCCAACAAAAGCGAACTTCTTTTCCAGAAAAGCAATCCGCATCCTGACTGCAAAGTATTCTGTCTGACTCCTGTCTGTCATAGCAAGCTTTGGGCCATCAATGCACCTCCAAGAATTATCGAGGCGTGCCGTAAGGTGATCTCCAGGCATTTATCACTAATAACAGAAACGCAATACGAGTACCCAGCAACGTGTGTTGGCTTTGAATTGGGCGACCAACCTTGGAGTGATTCAGGTGATAGTGCTCACTTTACTCACAGTATGATTTGCCATTTGTTGGATAAATTCTCCCACAAAGGCTTCAAAATCAAACTGACAGCGGACGTTATACCCGAATGCATTGAATATGACGAGGGCTCCAGCACTCCCCACGATCCCAATGCTTGGTGGTTTATGCACGAGCCACAAATGGGGATGCCAGGTGTTTCAGAGTGGAAATCAGAAGAGGTACCTCTGTCGCAGAGTTCTTTCGAAAAGCCTAGTGAACCCCTTACTCCCACTGCGCCCGCTCAGTCTTATGAAGCCCCACCTCCAAGCTACGAAACGGTCTTGAGGGAAAATGAACAGAAACCTTACTAACTTCTTTGACTTTGTCAACAAAATGAATTTCTTTGTTTGTACAGTGTCGCTCGGCTAGTACTTGAAGAAGTAGTAGAAGAAGTACTGCTTAGTACTTGAAGAAGTTTTTTTTATATTTTATTCCTTTAGTACTTGAAGAAGAACTAGAAGAAGTACTGCTTAGTAACTTGAAGAAGTTATTGTTATTATTTTACTTGAAGAATTTTTTAATTTTTTAATTCCTTTAGTACTTGAAGAAGTTTTCTTTTATTCCCTTTCCTCAATAGGCAACGATCGATATCTTAAAATTCAGGCTTTATGGTACTTCATGTATGGTATACAATAAGCACGTAGATTACCAAATATATTTATTGGTAGCTGGAATAAAAAAAGTACCGTAATCGTCGTCTGCAAATATTTTTAATGAAATGGATTGTGAAGACGGTGATACTTTTTCTTATCTTTCATAATATCTATTACCACTGGTTGTCACTGTTTTGAATATTTATAGTATTTAAAAAAAACCCAACAGATTGCCCAAAGAACAGCATCATCTGACTCTGCCCGATGATCTTCCCGATTTCGTAACTAACGTGAAACGTCAGTTCTTAAGAAATTAAAAATAAATCTTCACAGATAAGTACAAATTTTCACCGTCTTCGTAATAGACCTCCTCGGCTCTGACGTAATGTTTTCCCATTTCAGACCACGTGTCATTCCCTAGAGTATCATTTCTTCGTTTAAGGTTTGCGCTCGGTTGCACATGAGAAGACACATGAATATGGATACAACTCAAACAAAGAATCTTATTCTCAAGAGAATGACACGTGGTCTAAATAAACATCATTATCATTATTATCATTCCTCTCCAATCTGAAGGATCCCCTCCCCAAAATATGTAACCTTCCTCAGAGAAAAAAAAAGAACGAACCTTCATAAAAGCTCACATTTTTTTGATGATCATCCCCCCTCCAATCTGAAGGCCCCCCAGAAAAGGAAGCTTCCTCAGAGAGAGAAAAAAAAGAACCTCCATAAAAGCTCACATTTTTTCTGATGACCATCCCCCTCCAATCT